TANCTAACATTTTCTACAATTTTAATAAAAACAACGAATTTTATAAGTTTAAGTGCTGAGAAAATCTTTTAAACCCCAAAATAAGGTGCATATATTTCGAATTCGTTGCTATGGCACTCAGGGTACGAAAATAAACTATATTGTACGTTACTATTTCGTTTCGTTTATTCAACAGTTCGATACAATACGAAAACAAAACGCATGAGTTCACTTTGGCGATAGTACACTACAGTAGTTTAGTAGTTACAGACGAAACAACAAACGAAATGAATCGTGCAGAGAAAAATATATGTATGCATGTACACATATGCAATAACTAAACACATACTGAATGGCTGCAATGAATACAAAAAAATAAAAATGTTTTTTAATTGAATTGGATATGAAAAGTTACAGAAAAAAATATTTTTCACGTAATTGAAACGTTTGCATACATATAAATCGTACCCTATGGTACAATTGTCACAAACGAAAAGCAAACGTTTCTCGTTGGTGAAAATGACAGTGAATCTTACAATTTGTTTCTGACTATGTACAAAACTGTACAAAACCACAAATGATATGATGATCGATGAGCAAATGGGGAATTGTTTTGTACAGTTTATTTTCGTACTCAGATGGCACTTATAACAATGAACTAAAAATACCTTACAAACTATTAAAGTCTGTAATTTCCAATATTTGAATTGAAGAATTTTTTCGCAAAATTTTTCTGGAAAGTTTTACTTCCTTCCAGCTCCCCTTAAAGGTAAAATTAGTAAGGTAAAACAAAATCCGCGGCATCAGAAAAAGGATTTTCTTTTAATTAATTTTTGAATTCTTCAACCTAGTTCCAAGAGTTTTAAGTTTAAGTTTTGGCTTATATATACCAAATACAACTAAAACTTTCTGGAGCTAAAAAAATGCTACATAAATTTGAAAAGAGCTAAAAAAGAGCTAAGAGCTAAAACCCGATTTTCAGAGCTAAACAGAAAAATAAAGAGCTAAATCTAGCTCCAAAAGCACCAAAATGGCAACACTGAACCTATACCTCATATGAAATCGTAATTAGCCGTTGGAAAATTTAACACGCAGATAATCTATAACTATTTGAAATAAATGAAATAAACTGCAGTTTATGTCAAACTTACATCTCGATTTCGTTTAGCCCACTTATTTTACTTTATGTCCGCTACATACATATGTGACTTATTTTTTACTAATAAGGAAAAAAATACACTAAACATATCGCTACCTTAAAGTGAAAAGATTTTTGCAAGACAACATTTTGCATTTTTAAAGTAAGGTAAAACTCCATACGAATTAGATGGTTTCGATAATTAAAAGAAAAGAAAGAAATAAAACAACATTTTTATTTTCTCCTCCTATATCATAACTTATTTATTCAATTAAACACCAATCGGCCTTACACATAATAAAAAAGTAAGATTTTTAACAAATTTAAAAACATAAATAGTTAACAATAATTATCATTTGCAAAAATGATAAGATGTCGAATGAATACATATGTATAAATCAAAGAACTGATTTTAGAACACGTATGAGCCCCGCGTGAGAACCTCTAAAGAAATTAACACTACTTGGTGCATGTCGGTTGACTAAGCTTGCTCCGGTTAGATTGCCTAACATCTAGTAGTCGTCTCGACCGAAGATCAGCTCTGGAGCCGATGAACCTGAACTGTTCCAGTATTTCTGGGGAATCTATCAACCCACCTACGAACTTATAAAAAAAGGATAGATCCGCTATTTGCCTCCTGCTGTATAAAGTCTTGATATTGTACCTGTGGTATATATCACTCGTGTTCACACAGCTTCCGTCTTGGGAGTGATACAGCGGGCACTTACAAAACTTACGTTGAACTTTTTCGACGTTGTTTATTTGGATCTCAGTAAATGGGACCCAGACAATGGAGCAATATTCAAGTATCGGCTGCACGAAGATAGAAAATAGTCTGAGGAGTGTTCTGTGGTTCCCGACCTCTTTTCCACTTCTACATATGAATCCAAGCGCACGATGTGCTCGTGAAGAAATGTGATTAATGTAGAAATAGTGGACTTGTAAACTTTTCACTCTTAAGTTAGAAATATGTATGTGTACACAGTTTTTCCATTGTTATTGAATAAACAGAACATAAAAAGTATCATCCATAAATTCGGCTCCTGTTTCGTAGTAGAAGTCTAGATGTGAAGTGATGTCACAGTGATGTTTGTTTTCGCCACAGGTGTTTCTTTATTTTAGAAACAATAATTTTTATTTCATCTTATAGTAAGTACATATGTGCGTAATAAGCGTTTTTTTTCTTTTACAAATAAACTACCCAGACATTTTAATAAGATTGTTTTATTTGTTAAAAAAAATATATGTACCAAATATATGGAAAAAACGCTTCAGGGGATACTCGCCTATCAAAACCCGAATGTAGAAGCCAATAGAGCTTTTAATACTGATTCAAATGAAAGATGTATATATGTCGCTTCGAGGCCATAATACGGAGAAACTCTTACTTGTTTGAAGCATTTTTGTTCCAGCAAAATCGGACAATATCATTTTTGTAGGCAGATTCTGTAACGAGTTAGCGACAGATTCGGTAACCAGTAAGTATGACATATTTTTACGTCAACAATGGCGAAGGTTTAATGTAAAGAATCAGTATCGGGTACCGATAAGGAAGTTTCGAACAACAAAGAAGAAGAAGAGAACAAAGGTGGCACCGATTAAGGGTGGGTAACTCAGCAAATTTATAGGAGTTGACTCAATGACTCCAACTCACTTTAAGGAGTCAGCTCNGTCACACTTGTACATCTTGTTTACGTTTTGCTTGCAACATTTTTTCTTCCATTCCTGCTCGCGTTTTGGTATTTCTCTCTCGCAAATGCACCAGTGTGAAGCCACACAAAAATTATTTTCAAAAATCCTCTCTGATTGGCGCCATTTGTATTCTATCATTCTTGGGTTTTACCCATATTTTAAACATGTTCGATAGAACGTACAGTTAGTATCAGCGGTTGAATTGCTGACTGCAAAATAGCATAGCAAGCACCTTTTCATCATTTTCAATTGCTTAGGTACGACTGACACAAATAAATCAGCAAAAGCAGGCAGCAAAAGCGAAAAAGAAAAAATGAACTCATTTGCTTTAGCTTATAGAGCAATTTGTTTTTGCTTACACAAGGAGTGTTCGCTATGCAACTGTCAGTAAGAATTAAAAGTTCAGTTACGCAAGACTTAAACTTGACTTGACTTGAATATTGTGTATNAGAAGTTGCTTACCACGCTTATGAATGCTATAAATTTTGCTTCCATTTTTTTAAGATTTTATAATTTGGTGTTTTCAAACTAAAAACAAAAGCACCAAAAACGCACCAAGCACCAAACTCAAAAATGTTCGGGTTTTGAATACCCACTAAATTTGGTGCGAAAAGCATTAAGTTGGCAACAGTGAATGTAAACAAAAGTATTTTATGACGTCAGCGATTGGGTGGATGCTGTCAAATCGACGATGAGAGGGTTAGCGGTCCGCGAATGGCGCGACCTTTATTTTCTGGATCGTGGATAGAACGTACAGTTAGTATCAGCGGTTGAATTGCTGACTGCAAAATAGCATAGCAAGCACCTTTTCATCATTTTCAATTGCTTAGGTACGACTGACACAAATAAATCAGCAAAAGCAGGCAGCAAAAGCGAAAAAGAAAAAATGAACTCATTTGCTTTAGCTTATAGAGCAATTTGTTTTTGCTTACACAAGGAGTGTTCGCTATGCAACTGTCAGTAAGAATTAAAAGTTCAGTTACGCAAGACTTAAACTTGACTTGACTTGAATATTGTGTATCTGGCAAGCAGCGTGTGTACATATGTAGTTACCCAAAAAAACAACTTTACTTAGAAACTTGGAGAACTATAGATTTTTGATTTCTAAGTGCAAAGAGAGCCCTGCGAGAATCATGCTGCCATTTCATTTTTTAATAAAATCCCTACAAATATGCCAAATAAATAACATTTTTTGTATAAATGTAATTCATCTGGCAATCGAAAAACAAACTTTCAAATAAAGACAGAAAATAAAATAAAAACAATCACAATTCGATACGCGTAAATACATTTATTTTACTGGTAATTTTGTATTCATTCTGGTGTAAAGACAAATTAAACGTTTGCAATTTAGGTGTACAAATACAAGTGCTGATATTCAAAAGAAAAAGAAAAGGTAATAGGTGACACGCTGAGTAATCGTTTCTAAGTTTCTAGGTAAGTCAAGTCAAGTCTAAGTCTTGCATAACCCAGCTTTTAGCTAGTAACAAAATTCAGAGAATAAGGTACCTTAATCTCCCACGGTGCAGCGAACAAAGGTGGCGCCGTCAGTGGTACCGCTACCTTGGTTTTGCCGATTTTGACAGTTGTGGTAACTTGTAAATAAACCTTTGTTTACAAATCAGCGAAAGAGAAATTTGAATTATAAGTGAAAAATCAATTTAAATTGTGTTAATTTGCAATTTGTGAGCGATTTTTGAGTTGAAGACTTCGTAAAAACTAATACAATGAAGTGCTGTGTGTTAAAGTGCGACAGCCGCCAAGATGCAAGAAGCGTAGATGCAAGTGTAGCGCTGGGACGAATCGCTGCATTTTGTGTACAAAGCCCACTGCAAAGCCGCTCCCGAAATGTTTCTCTATTATTATATTAACAGCATTTCCTCACAATGATTTTGTTTCAGCTCCACGCACCCTCCATTAGCAAGTTAACTAGTCAATCCCGCAGAGATGCTGCTGCAGTTTTCTGTCGATGTCATCGGCATAAGCCAGCAATTGCACGCTCTTGTAGTAAATTGTTCCTGAGCGGTTCAGTTCTGCAGCTCTTATTATCTTCTCCAACATCAGATTAAAGAAGTCACATGAAAGGGAGTCGCCCTGTCTGAAACCCCGTTTTGTGGCGAACGGCTCGGAGAGGTCTTT